TGAGGATAGAGGTCTCATAGATGAAATACCTGAGAAGGCCTCCTAATGTTTCCACTGAGGACATGAAGAACAAACAGAAGGTAACCATGCCAAGAGGAAGTGTTAAGAGATTAAGCAAGAGATAAGCAGAAACCAGGTTTTTCAAAACTCATGTTAAGATGTTTAAACTTTACACTTTACAATAGCTGGAAGATTTAGTGAGGGGTGGGGGATTTGATAAGAATATTGTTCTACTTTTCAACTGTCTGTATTTTCTGATTTTATGTTGATAAACATGTATGTTGATTTTACAATGAAAAGACAATGAGATTTATATTTTAGTTTTTAATTAAGAAAAGTAAGAGAGAGACAGTAATAGCAGAAAAGGAAAGCTGAGCCAGAAGTAATAATGGTAATTTTTAAAAAATGTATATTATTATAGGCATACTAGAGGTAGACCATAAATTTAGCTCTAAACTTATTAGAAACCAATTTAAAAAGGGAAACTTCAACAGTTTCATAATATGCAAAATCCATGAACAAGAAAGCCAGAGTGGCTAACTAGGACAAGTGGGGAAGGAAAAGAAGGAAAGCAACTAGAAGGGGTAGGTGGTAGGTAGATCATGTAAGGTTTCGAGTGTCATTGCAAGGACTCTGGATTTTATTCTGAGTGTGACAGAAATCTTTGTGCATTTTTGAGCAGTGGAGTGATGTGATTTGATTTACATTTTAATAGCTCACTCTGTCAGCTCTGTAGAGGAGGAACAGAAAAGTCAAGAGTAGAAATAAGGAGACCAATTTAAAGACTATTGCAGTAGATCAAGAGAGAAACGATGGTGGTTCCATCCAAGATAATAGTGGTGAAAACAGAAAAAGGTGATCAGATTTGGCAAATCATTTGAAAGTAAAGCTGATAGGGTTTGGTGAAGGATGAATAGAGGGCGAGAAAGAAAGAGGAATCAAGTGCATCTTTTGTATTCTTCAGGCTAAGCCATTATTTTGGAAATAGGAGAAGGTTCTGCAGGACCTCCAAGGAAGTTTCTTCTCTTCCCACTCCTCAACTTATCATCTCTTGAGTCATCCTAAGAATGTTTTCTCCACCTTACTTATTGCAGCCTTCTTGTACCAGCTTATGCTCAGCCCTGGAAGCATTTTCTTTCTGAATTAGGGGGTTAACTGTGGCTCTTGGGGTATCCTTGGTCCTGACTTTAGTTTCTCCTATCAGAAAGAAGGATCAGACCTTTGAGACGTAGTCCTGAAACAGCTGTCTCAGAGTCCTGGTCCACCGTCACCTAGCCAAGTAAGTTGCCTATCAGAAATTCTAAGACAATAAATCCAGCCCTTTTCATGGATTATAATTATAGGGTTGGAGTTTTATGAGAATTAAATGAGAAAATGAATTAGAAAAACAATTTTAATGAACTGTGATGCTCTTCATTGCAGCAAGGCATTGAATGCTAATAATAATGATAATAATGAGGGCAATGGCTACTATTATGAGAGTGCTTAATGCCAGCACTACACGAGGTGCTTTACATGGCACAGGACTGAATGCTCAGAACAGCTCTATAACCTGGGAATTATCCCCATTGTATAGAAAAGAAAATTAAGGTCACACTGGCTAAGATGTTCATTCAAATTCACATAACTAATGGATAATGAAATCATCATTAGAGGCTAGATTCTCTTGACTCTACTTTCTATGTTTTGAGATTCTAAAGCTGTTTTCATCGACCTGGTTAGTTATATCCTACTCTCAATAAATCAGCTAGAGAAAGGTATGCACTGGCTTACAAGTTAACAAAGGCACAATGCTCTGAGATGCCATAGGTTGCTGTGAAAGTAATTTCAGTGTTTTGCCATTAAAAGTAATGCCATTACCCAGAATTCCATTACCACAATGACTTTTGCAACAAGCTAATAGAATTCTGGGTAAGACAGAGCTACAAAGCTTATTTAACAATATAGGATTTGTCCTTCTTCACAAAGAAATATTCTTGGGCCAAAAGAAATGAAATCTTGGAAATAAAAGTTCTGTTTCACCTTTTGCTGTTGGCCAAGATGGCTGTCACAGAAAGAAAAAGGAGTCTTTATGTTTCCTATCTTGAAACCAGGAAATAGCTCAGGTTCCACAAATTCTTTATTCCTTCAACAGTTCTTAACAATATGGCATCATTGATATGATTCAAAGATGTTTTATCATGGAAAGTTCACAAACCAATAGAAGCAACATGCATAGAACATATTTACTAAAAGAGGTTCATATCAAAGTGCACAGGTACCTAAAGAATGGGGCAGCTCCCTCTGTGTAGGAGCTAGGTGGCAAAGAGGCAGTACTTCATGTAGGATGTCAAGGAGACCTACTGAGGAATTTTAAACGCAATCAGCTTGAGTGTTGGAAATTCACTCCGGCAGCAAGAAAAGAGAATAGATTAGGAAAGGATGAAAGACCATCCAGAAGGAGGCTGCTACAATGTTCCACAAGAGAGATAATGAATGTCTGAACTCAGACAATTAGGCCAGGAACAGGGAGGACATGATGCATTGTTGAGGTATTTGCATGGCAGAATTCCAAAAAGGAACAAAGTAAAGAAAAAGTACTTCATGCTCATTTAAATATTCAGATAAGGGGAGAAACCATGGATGATGAGGAAGAAGATTCTCCCATGAACATAATCTTGACTGTAGCTTTTCAAGATACAGTTTGTACATTCAGTGCATTAACTTGAGGTGTGGGTAGATAGCCTTGTTTTCTTCCAATGCAAAGTATTCGCATTTATTTTCTTCAAGTTACATCATGATGGAGGCTCCAAACAAGGCCAGCAGAAAAGACATTTCTAAGAAGAATGGCTAGTCATACCACAATGTCAAAACTCTCTAAGGGGATTTAGACATGTTTCCTAGATGATTGCTTAAATGAGATATCATATGTAAACTGCAAATAGAATGCCTGTCGTATTAGAGGTACTCAATAAATTTTAACTATTTTACTATTAAGGTTCAGTCATCGACGTTCATCACAGGCTTTCTCTAGATGGCTAATTAATCATGAAGCATTTCAAGCAACATGTATTTAATGAATATATAAATATATTCAATAGCACAGCCCTTTGCAGGCAATACTCCCTGTCATGTAGTTTGCCCAGAGTTGACTCCTGCAGAAGCATGTGAACACACCAGGGTAAAACAATAGGGAAAGCATGAGCCTGGAATTTAGAGATTTGAGTTATACTAGGGACACAAAATGTTAATCCAGTGCACTCTTCTTACAGTTGAGAAAACTGGCACTGTTCATTGCCTCATTCAATTTTTCAGAGGTAAAGCCAGGCCTAATAACAGGGACTCCTGACTTCCTGGCCCTTCACCTTTTCCATGATAGTATATACATGTGAGGCCCACCCGCTCTGGAAGGGCACACGTGATCTAACTTACATTCCTGTGCAGATGACGCTATTATGACAAATTCATTCCCAAAACACCTGAAACAGTTCCTTAAAATTAGGTTAAGTGGTTCATGCCTGCTAATGCCTAGGCAGGTGTTACCATGCCTTCAGGCACTGCATACAAACCAGAAACTGGAGACAAGCATTAGTTTGGATTCATGATGATTAAGAAGTTTATTTTCCTAAATATATTTCTCTACATTTCTACCTAAAATGCAAAAGAGACTGTGTATATAAGCCCATTCACACACACAGACACACAGACACACACACACACACACACACACACACACACACATCTTAAGCCTCAAAAATGAAACCAGTAGAATTCAGTGCTTTCTATCAAAAGTTACATTCTGAGCTGAGTAGTTTAAAACTACTATTAAGCTCTCCAGGAAATCTGTGTGACTCATCTGAGTCTGCTAGGTATGCCTTTGAACAACCCAAACATTGAGATACATTATGTATTAACAGAGAACTTCCATATTGTAAGCATGTCTGTGTTTGTAGTCTTGAAACATGAATTAAGAAAAGAGAATGTATCAGCAGTGCTCAGACCCATTAATTAATTAGTATTCACTATCCTTTTGCAAGTAAGCAATTTTATCTCCATTTTGGGATTAAGAAATTAAGTCAAAGTTGAAAAGCTATATTGGTTCACCAGAGGTTTGGTTCTTAATAAATCTCAGATTATTGGTCTCATATTTTGGTCACTAATATTACAATACTCTTCTGAAAGAATTAAAATGAGTATATGCCCTTATTGTTTCCTTTCTTTTGTTCCCCATAGGAAATTGCACTGCTCCAAATCAGCCCTCAATGCCTGATTTGCAACAACAGCACTGCAAACAGTAACTTATACCCAAAAACATAATTTCCAAGGCTATTTATATTTTTAAAATAAATACTTAGTGTGCTCTCCAATGTTAATTCCCAACCAAAAACTGTTATATTAAATTTTAATATTCTCTTTCATTATTTACTAAATTATTTTAATCACCAAAATACTGTACTTTAAGTTACAATTTTTTAACCCTAGATTACCTCTGAGGTTTTAGCTCAATTAAAGAAATACTTGTATTCCCTACAGTAGGGTCATTATTTTTTCAGAAATAGTCATATATAAGTAACAGTCATTTAAAGATTTTAATATAAGAATCTTGAAATAAATATTTCAATGGAAACTATAAGAAGGAAAATAGAAACATTCATTTAATGTTCAGAACTAAATAGTAAAGATAATTTTGAATTTGAATGTTTTCTAATCTGGCATTTGCATTTTGATTTTTCCATTTTATATTATTTATCATTCTCTTTTTTCTACCAGAATTAATAAACTTTTACAAGTTTCCTTGAAGTAAGGATTACTACTCTCATAAGAAAACTAAAACATAATTATATTCAATATACTAGATGTATACCCATGTATAGGAAACTTCATAGAATATGTTAGATGTTATTAACATACTCTTATTTTCCTTTCTTTGAGAATTAGCACTGATTATTAAGCATTTAATAAGTAATATACAGTGATTTCAGAGCTTTAACAAGTTAATTATGCTACTAAATGATGCTTACCCTCGGTAAAGAACTTGCTCAAGGCCTTGAAGTTTCAGACTCATGATTTAATTGGCTAGATTGTATGTTAGGAAGTGAAATAGGATAGCAAAAAAGCTTTCTTAAAATAAATATTAAATAACTAGAAAAAAAGAAAAAAGCATCATCACATCCCAAAATTAAATCTCTGAAAAGCAAAATTGCTACTGCTTTTGCCCAGTTTCTCTGTTTCACAGTTTAATGTAATGTAAAATTCCAATTCATGTATATATATGTATGTTTGGCTTCCAGCCCACGAACTCTTATACCCATGTGAATAAAAGGCAACCCAAGTCAATGAGTCAATGTCCTGGTGAAGGCATTGCAGGCAAATTGAGCCAAAGAATAGATAGAGCTTTTGGATAGGAGTGTTTGAAAAAGCATAAGGCATCTGCCCAATGACAGAAGTAGAAAATAACTGCAGAGAGAAGAGTCTGGAGAAAAATGAGTCTGGGAAGATATGTAGTGATTAAATACTTACTTCTGTCATGAGTGATTATGAGAAAAATAAATCATGTGAGATATATCTGGTTGAAGAAAAATACAGATTTTGGAGACAAACTTATTTGAATTCTAGACATAATTTCAAAATTTGTTAGCTGCCTGACACTGGTCAGGTTATATAAACCTCCAAAGCTTCAGCATTGCCACTGGAAAAATAAAAAAACAAAAAATGCCAATCTTAAAGGGCTCAGGTGATAATATATGAAATAATGTGTCTGTGACAGAGCCTAGTAGAGCATTTCACATAGAGTACATCCAACAAAATGCCAGTTGTTTTTTCTTCCCACCATCCCTTGGTCTTATTTAAAGATCAATGAACACACCAGAGAACTTTCCTTGCAACCCAGCAATTCTACTATCTCCCAGGCAATTCAGACTTTTTAGTTACCCCTAATCCCTTGATCCATCTGTAGAAGTAAAATTTCAAACAAGAAGCATTGTAAAATTGCATGATCATTTGTCCTAATTGGTTTGACTTATTTTAATGTTCTGAAAAGTCATTGATAACCATTTTTAGAGTTATGTTTGCCTTCCAACTCTAAACTAGGGCCATTCTGTTATCTCAATAACTATACTTACCATTATCTATTCTCTCTGTCTCTGTCTCTGTCTGTCTGTCTCTCTCTTTCTCTCTCTCCATACACACTTCTACACACACAAACACATACACACACACACACACACACACACACACACACACACACACCACACACTAGAAGGGGATGAGGACACAACCAGAATAAAATTATCCAGAAAGAGCAACTCCATTCCCTATCTTTCAGATCTAGAACTTCTAAAATCAGGAGAGCTCCACCTAAATCTTTGATATTGTTGTGACTGGTCAGTCCCTGAGATATGTCTCAGATCACTAACCCTTAGGTTACTCTAAGCCCACCCTAGAAGAAAATCACACCTACAATGTGGCCTTCTCCATGCCTCTGGCCTGACCACCAGACTCCTCAAAGTGAGCCTCGTACTTAACAAATACACTAATATAAGGCACTTAGCTTCTTTGAATAGTAGAACATTCAAAAGAAAGAAACAGAATAAAACAGGACTTCAAGCTCTCACCTGACCAGTGTTAAATCATAACTTACAAAGCAAGCAAATCAACAGCAAAACATATATCTGCTCATTGGGCTGATTCAATGCCACCGCAGTTTGAGAAAAGAAGGAAGAAAAGAGAAGGAGAAGGAAGAGAGGGAAAAAACAGGAGAAAGGACAGAAAGATGAGGAGGTACAGGAGAAAAAGGGAAAGCTTGATCATGAAGCTTATATTCTTCACAGCTGGAGTTACTAGGATTGATGCTAGCAAACCCAAGATTGCACCAAAGCATGAAACTGGCATTACTCTACCACTTTGGAGAAACTGTGGCTCTGCTTCTGAGGGCAAGGGCCTTCAGAAAGGCCCCGGGAACCTGTCATGTCAAGCTTAGCAGCCTTTCTGATCAGGCCCGACAGCCCCAATCTCAACTCTTCCCAGGTAGCACTAGAATGACTTACCGTGGCTAGGTTCTGTGCTGATGTACATGTACAAACAAACCTGTTTATCTTTAGGTCTCAGAGGATCATTGAACCACCTTGGGATAAAAAGTAGCTGAGATAGAATGGGGTCTCAGATGGCTGGTTTTACAAAAGCTGCCTTTCATAAGAAACTAGAGTATCTAGAAAAACTCTTGGGATATTCATGAATATCCCAAGAGTTATAAGTAACTTATGAATAAAAGTTATAAGTAACTTATGAGTAAGTTACTTAAACTTCAGTTAACTGTGGTCTTCAGAAAACTGGAGTTTCATTAAAGCTAGTTGCAATTCATTGTAATTATATATTTTCATGGCTGAGTATCTTTTTCTTTCCCCATAGCTAAGATTTTTTCCCTTCTAATGTCTTTTTCTTACAAAATATGTTCAAGTGAATGTTCCTGTTTTCAGGTCTTTAATTTTAAATATGGTCTTCATGCATCTGCAGTGTACATGTAACTACTGGGAAATAAAACATCGTGCACATCCATAAAATATAACAAACATTATGTGGCTGCAGACTAGCATGAACTCCAAAGTGCCAGTACTGATGTGAAACCGGAATCATTCTCCTGCCTCTTAATACCTTTTCCATCAGGTACAGAACAAATGATTTTTACCAGAGCTTAATTTTCATAGGATCTATTAGGCACCTTGAGTGGAGAGGCAGAAGAATGATAGGGAAAAAAAAAAAAAAAAAAAAAAGCTTGGAACATGAATCCTTTCCTGGCACAAGGAGACTGGTTCAATACTATTAGCATTACCACCCAAACTCTACTTGATCCATAGACTCTGTTGCCTAACCCCTCCTATCCAACACCCCTGCTCTCATTAGCATTTCCCAAAAAGCAATAAAACACATAAGGGGCACTAGAAGACTTCAAGGACATTGAGCTACATTTTAGTCCATAAAAACACGAGAACAAAATAAACAAAAATACCTTAGTTCCTTGCCATAACCTCAACACAGCTAATTTCTTACAGTATTTCTAAACAGCCTCCTTAATTGAAACTTATGTTAACCTAAAAGACTCAATCACTGATTACCAAGATTAAAAATCCAAATACAGATGTGTTTTATTGTGTATATTTTATGGTGTAGGCATTTCAAAAACTTAACCCTCATTTTTAAAAATCTGCCATAATGAGAGTGTTGAATACTTCCTTTTCAACTTATAACAAACATCCACAAACCTTTGGGATTTAAATAGTTTAGTGCGAGCACACACACATATCTTTGAACCTTTGTGAAACTCTCTAGAATATTCTGCTTTGTCACAAGTGGTTATATAAGCAGATAGACTTTCTGGGTGAAAAACTGATGTCTAAGCCAAAATGGATTTCAAAACATATGTACCAAAATGCAATTGGTTGAAGACAATATTGACCTAAGAAGAACTAAGGAAATAATGTTGAGGGAAAAGTTTCAATCAGAAGTTTGATTTTTTTTTGTTTCCAAAAAAAATGAGATGTCATATTATGGTATACACAGAAATACATTAGGGGTGTTTAACTACAATGCATGTTAAACCTAATGAAAATTTTTGATTAAAAATTACTTTTGGTGTACTTATGAAGTATTTAAATGGAAGAATAAAATAAACATATATCATGTGAGGTTCTAGTTTTCTAAATATAACTTTAAGTCTCTAGTGGGCTGAAAGTTTATAAATAAATAAGTACCAGGCTGAGTCGTTCCACAGAAGTCTTAGATCTATGCAACTAACCAGAATTCTCTGGCAACAGGCAGATCATAGGGGGCAAGTCAAATTTCTATCAGTTCCTTTTTACCTTCCCTCCATCATGAAAAACAACATTAGTTTATTTTTAGATAAGACAGTAGTGTGTATTAAGGCAACATTCAGAAGAGTTTACATTTATACTTCATGATAACCTATTGCTACTGTATTTTGTCAGATCATGTTCATATAAATTCAAACCAAATCTGACAAATTCTGTCCAGAAGGAAAAAAGCTCTGAAATATATGGATCTGCCAGGAAGAAACATAAATGCAAAAAACTAAAATTTTTCCAAATAAGTTCCCCAGATTTTATATACTTTTCATTTTGCAATCATATGCTTTGTAATCTAATCTTCATTTGGATAAAGATACACAAGTTTTAGCAAGACATTTGTTTCCTTTTGTAGTGGAGATTAATTAAAATGTGTCTTTAAAAAAAAAAAGAATAAGACTGTCCAGGTGGCTTTTTTAAGGTTTTAAAAAAAAATCCAGAATATACATGACTTGCATACCTATGAAGTAATTTCTGTGATGTGCTAAATCTGTGGTGAAATTTTTAGGTTTTTGTTAGAGATCTAAGTATTTTCTTTAAAAATACAAGCATGTATGTGTTGTCCCAGAAAAAAACGTACTTGGGAGTAACAATTATTTCATCAAGATATACCAAATTTAACAAATATTGCTTCCATGGCAAATAATATCAACAAATAACATTTCTCTATTTTAAACATTTGCTGAACATAATGTATATGTGTTATTCTCTCTCCTTTGACCAATGTGGAAGGTTTTCCAATTTCCATACAAATTCACTGGTATATTTAAGGAAATGTTATTACGATGCTATTTACTTAGTTTCTTAGCAAAAGAAAAGAACAGAGGAAGAGAAAAGAAGTAGAAGAGGAGAAGGAGGAGGAAGGAAAATAAAGAAAATATTTAGAGTCTTTAAATGTGTTGAAATGGTGTACTGTGCAATGATATATATACATATCTGATGTATTATATATTATTTTTTTAAACTTTTCTCTATTTGTTTATTTCATAAAACTTAGAGATAATCTGTGAAAGACTAGTCCCATTTAGTAGGTACCTTTAGTTTACAAACAAACATATATATATATATATATATATATGCAAATAAAATATTGCCTCCTTTAAGCAAATTAGGAAGTCAATCAAAATAGCAAAAGGAAAAACATGACATAATATTGTCCTGTCCCACAGATGAATTTGTTGAATTAATATATTGTGTGTATCCACACGCTAAATGATTTTCTGAAACAGTAGAGCTCTCCATAGCAAATATGTTTTTTAAAGCATAATCTTGAAAACAGTGCATTTTGGGTGACACACTGGTATGTATTAAATAGATAACTACTTGTTTTCTGAATAATTTTACTTGCTTATTTGGGGAACAATTCATAGAAGCAATATTCATTGTTCCTATGCATAAACTTTAAAAATAATTAACCACAATTGGCCAAATTATTTTCAAAGTATAAACAGAAAGATAAGAATACTAAACTTTCCCCTGCCTGCATTTGAGAGTTTGTCAGCAGTCAATTCCAAGGCCTTTAATCCCAGGCTTTAAATAATTCAGATAACACTTGATTACTCCATTGCAAGAACGCTTGAGCTCTGCAAAAGCTGAATAACACATTATTTTCCACATTAAAAAAAAAAAAGCCAATCTTAAATAGAAGGCATCTAAGACAAACACACTTCCCAAGCCCAAACTATACAACCCATTTTTGCATTTACTACCTAAACTCTGGTAAACATCAGTATAGGTAACTACCAAGTAATTCTGCATTCTTGCTTTCATTACCAAGCCATCTAGATCTACAGCTTAATTTGCTCAACTCAGAATCCCCCATCCATACACTTTCTGGGTTTAAAGGGTTCTTTGAATCATAACAAGTGAAATGGTTAGTTATGTTACTCAGAAATCCAAAAGTGTACACAAACGAAATTTTAAACTTAAAAGAATACTACTTTGACATTCATTTCTATTTCCTTAGGAAAATAATTGTTTTATATCTTTTGACAACCAAGATTCAATATCTGCTGCCTCCGTTACTTGTAAACATCAGCCATTACAAAAGAGCTTTGCTCACTTGGCTAAATTACAACCTGAGTAATGTGAAACAGACAGAATAACCAAGAAATATTGGCTTCCAACCCCAAATCAAAAAGCAACAAAATTTTGCCATCAAAAATGTCTAGCTGAGTTCTAAATGGATTAAACTCATCCATAAAGCTGACGTATGTAGCACTTCACTTTGATGTATAGTAGTGTCCATATATGCCTGAGCATGTGTTCATAATTATCATATAACCAGATAAATAAAAGACACAAAATTAGGTTATGAACATCAAATAAGCTCTGTAAAAATTACCAAAGTTGAGCAAAGAACCCACTGACTTTAGTGGTATGGCACATTTTCTTCTTTCAAACTAATCTCATCACATCCTTTCCCCATAATCCTTGATCAGTTAGTTCCTCTTCACTCTAGCAAGCAAGTTTAGTCTTTTCTTATATCCGGCCAGAAACAACATGAAGTAGAAAATCTACAGATTGCATTCAGTATCACCAATAAGTACCGCATTTGACTACTGCTCATACCATTTGGAAACCAGTCCTCACATGACGACTGGCCTGACACCTCATCCATCAACAGGGTGCCCAGAGCAGAGTTGGACGGTCTTCCTTGCTCCATCTCCAGAGGGGAGGCCCAGTTGGGAAACAGGATTCTCTTCCAATAGCAATTAGATCTTTAAGATCAGGCCTCAGCAATATGACCTAAAGCCATCCTTTCTTGCAACAAAGTCTCCAGCATCTTCAGAGAAAGAGACCAAGAGTGAGGCAAATGAGGAGAAATCCAGGTCTCCGTGGCCTGATTAGAAACTTTGTTGTGTCAAATAAACTTTGGCAACTGGAGGAAAGTACCCCATGGTTGCTCTGGCTTTAGAAGGATCTGTCCAGGGCTTCTCAATCTTCTTTTCACCCCTCTCTCTCTCACTCCCTCTCTCTCTCCCCTCTTCTCTTGTTTCAAAAGAGGCCTCTGGTCAGCGCTGATTAATAAGTGTTTTTTGTTGTGAAGTGTTGAATAATAGAGGATGGCCGGTGACCCAGTAAGGACTAAACCTTGCGCTGGTTTATTGTGGCAAGCTGAGAAAGGGGCTTTAGGCCCGGGACCCCAGGCACTGACCCGCACACATCCCGCGGATCGCCTATTCATTCGCACAGCCCTCCAGTCGCCCAGGCTCCCATTGTTTGCCGAGCAACAATGGAGATTTCGCAGGGAAAGTAAAGCTCTTTTCAGATTCCTCTCTGATGTTTTGCATTTAGGGAAACACCGACCTCCACTTTTTCCCCCGACATTTTCCCTCACGGCATTTAAAGCTGTTCGTTTTCGGGGAAACTTGTGTGAGTTTGGCGCTTGTTCGACCAACACCAGTATTAGGAGGAAGCGAGACGGGTGGAAAAGGAAGGAGAGCCCCAGAGATTTCCTTTTTTTTTTTTTTTTTCTTGTGAAATGCATTTAGAGGACAGAAGCTGCCTCTAGGGAGAAAGGGGAAAGGGGGAGGGGAGAAGAAAAAGGAAAGAACGCGTTTCCTCGCCGGGGTAGCCGGGTGGCGCGGGCTTCGCGGCCCAGGGGCGGCCGGGCGGGCCCGCAGCTCCTCGCGGCCGGCTGGGAAGTGGCGGGTCCGGTTCGTCCGCGGGCGGGCGGAGAGCTCCGTCGCTGCCTGTGTCCCCATTCCACCTTCCTTCTCCGCGCCCTTCCCCGCTCCTTCGCTCCCCGAGCCCGGGGCGGTCCCGCAGGCACCAGCGCCTCTGCCCTGCGCTCCTGGGCGGAGGCAGCCGGGAGGGGTGGCGGCGGGAATGGGGGCCAAGGCCCCGCCAGCCAGGGCCGCATCCCGGGACTGATTTCTGCTTTGCTTTCCTGCACCTGGCCCGGGGCAGGCTTTCTAATTTCTGCCTCGGCCGGAGGAGCCGACTTCCGCAGGGTCGGCTTGGGGCAGGGGATGTCGGTGGGGGCGGCCGGGCGAGGCGAGGTCGCGCGGAGACTGCCAGGCCTGCTTGGGCCTGGGCCACTGCAGCCGCCTCGCCTCGGCTGGGCCCTCGCCCCAGGACCACCAGAGCTGACCCGCAGCTCCCGAGGAAACAGCCGCCTCGGGCCTAAGGGTCTTTGCTTCCCCCCAAAGCAAACAAGCGTGGGTTGCCAGGTCAGCGAGTCTGGCGCGGAGGCCGGAGGAGGGTGGGGGGCTGGTGGGGCCCGATGGCCAGACAAGTGCGAGTCGGTTAGGGGTTTGCGTCCCTGGGGGAGGCGAAGAGCTTGCGGGGCCCGGGTCGCGAGTGCAGGGAGAGGGCGCCGCTTGGGGCCGTGCAAGGCCGCCCTCCCGGGCAGGCCTCGTCCACGCCCTTGCGGCCGGCCAGACCCGCCGCGCTTCACGTTCTCCAGGCTCACGCCTGGGCGCGGAGCGAGGCTAAGCCCCCAAAAAGGGGCGTGGGGCAAGGGCGAGGACGAGGACGCAACGCAGGCCGCGGAGCCCGGTGGGCGGCGTAAAGCGTGCGCTGCGCCTGCCCGCTTGGTCCCAGACTGCCGCCCGAACTCCCCGACCCAGCCTTGACAGCTCTCCCAGCAGCCAGAGGAAGAAGAGGAGGAGGAAGGACACAAAGAGGAAAGAGGAGGAGGCGGCGGCGGGCGGCGAACTGAGGGCAGCTCAGTGGGAGGAGGGCTCATTGTCCGGTCCCCCCAGTCCAATTGATATGCTAATCCCTTTTCTGATGCCATAACAAAGAACACCTTTGCACTTTTAAAAGACTTTTGTGCCCTGGCTACAGAAGTTTATTATCCACTAATTAGCAACAACTTCTGGCAATGAGTTGGGTTACATTTTCATAAGTTCCAGGCCTGAGCGACGAGGTGCGCAGGGCAGGAGGTTTGAGAGTAGGGCAAACCCGAAACCTGGCGCCAGAAAGGAATCGGCCTCTCACTTTCCTAGGCATAGGGCGCCCGGCAGGGATCGAAAGTAAAAAGTGTCCGGAAAAAGGCTCTTAGGGCGCGGATGGGGTGAGGTGGGGTGGAGATGAGCGATTTGGGCCCAGGGTGGCTGGTGACCTTATTGGACCCGCTTCTGTGGTCCCCATCCCGAGAGCTGCGCGGAGGCTGAGGCTGCGGCAGAAGTGCAGGTGTCCCGGCCCAGCCATCTGTTTGGGGTGGGGGTGGGGTGAAAGTCTCGGATGAATTTTGGGGTGCTCCCCTCTGCTCTCTCTCATGTTTTACTTTGAGGCCTCGACTCAGAATAAGCCGCCGGTGAGAAAGCGGCCCTTTCGTGGGAAACGCGCCTAGCGCTTGGTTTCTTTCCCAAGGCCTCCCCACCAACAAGGCTGAAATTCCAAGACCCTGGAAGATGAGGCAAAGCTGGCATTGCCAGAGTCGGGAGAGAGGGGAGGATGCTGGGTAAAGTGCCCACCCGGGCTGGTCTGAAGTGGTCACCCCACAGAGCCGACTCTGCTGCTAACCAGAGCAGAGAGCCGCACCTTCCCAGCGGCGGGCCCCAGTGCGCACCGCGTGACTTTGCTTCCCCCAGGCTCTGCAAGTCGTTGAGGACCTTTAGCAGTCCCGCATCCCAGGTCAATAAACTGGAAAGGGATAGAATGAGAATCATTGATGAGAGATAAAGGGCAGCGGGGTGACGCGCATTCCTTGTAGTGCCTCCAAAAAAACCGTAGTCTCTTGCGGCCAATAAAACACCCTGGTGGTGAGGCCTTCGGTCTGGACTCAAACCGCAGAGATGTTTTGTCTTAGGTAATTCGAGCCCCCAAACCCAGCATCTTGGGATTATGTTATACACACACTTATATTCTTTCTGTATTTTTAAAAATTCTTTCGTTTTTGGTTTTCTGCTTTTTGCAAACGACCCCGTTGGAGATATTGTTGGATATTTCAAGCAGATGTCAAGTGGGTGTTGGCGGCCTGTGCGTCCTCCCGCAGTAGCAGCAACAGCCAAGTACGGTTTGATAAATGCTCAAGGTGAAACGTGGCCTTACTCAAAACCCCAGGGTGATTTAGGGTAGAACAGCGAATATTCAGAGGCGGGAAGTGGTAAGTTATATTGTTACATTCCCTTTCGGTGGAACTAAATGCGGTTTTCTGCGGTCCTAACCTCTCTCGCATCGGAGTGCAATGTTTCTGAACAAGCTCTGTTAGAACTGGAAAATGGGAGGGGGTGAGGGAGCCCACAGACGACTTAACGGAATCCTACTGAAGAAAATACAATGATAACCAAGATATTCATGATATTACATCCCATGATCTTCCAGACAAGCGTCTCACCGGAGCAAGAAAAAATTCCCAAATTTCTCCCCAGCAGTGGCCTGGGGTGGGGTGAGAGAGGAGGTGGGTGGTGAATGTAGGGAGGAGAAGGGCTCTCTCTGTTGTCACCCTCGGCCCTCTTCATTGAGGAGAAACAATGGCCAGGCCTAGAGTTCTTTCTGAAAGAGAAACGGCAGGAAGGCAGAGTTGCTCTTTGTACCCTAGCCCCTTTAGAGGAGGGGGAGTCGTACACAGGATCCCCCTGATCACTGGGCGGTGTCCGGGAGATCAGAACCCCTCAGATAGTCTGGGAGCTAAAAAGGCGCTGGCCCTGTCCTTCCAGAAGCCCCAGACAGCCGCCGGAAGAAACCCAAGCAAAACTCCGCGACCTCAAAATTCGCCAGGGGAGAAGGGGGGAGACGAAAACCACTCACTCTCACATGGCCAGTCAGTCCCCCCATGCCACCATCCCAATGTCTGATCAGGCTTGATTCTGCTGACGTGTGTATTTCAGATTAAGGATGTATTTATTTATTTATTTAATCCTTCAGATCTTCCCACCCCATAAAAGAGACTTAATTCCTTTCCAGGGCGACTGGTTGATAAAAAAAGGCTCCATTTTAAAGCAATGGGGGATCATATGACTGTGACCTTGACGTGTGAAAGGGGGGAGGGGTAGGTAGTTTGGGGCCCAGACCTTAGGCCTCTGCAATTCTGGGGCGTTCTAGGCCCTTGATAAGAACATCAAGAAGAGGGATTGCTTTTCAAAGGTTACCGTTAGCACTTCATTCACTAAAGTTGAGAATTCGGTATTTTTATATTACGTGAAAAACATGATTTAATTATACTCCAAAAACAAATTAAGGACAGGCCTTCTACACAAATTGGAGGCAGCTAAATGCTCTTTTGTGCCTGCAGCCCTCGGGTTGTTAAAGAGGCTGCTGATGCATGAGAAGTAAGTGACTGATTTAACTCATTGGGATGCAGGAAGCGACCTGCCCTCTTTTGAAAAAAAGCAAGAGAGAGAGAGAGAGAGAGAGAGAAAGAGAGAGAGACTTCGAGCTTGAGAAGAGAGAGGGAGGGGAGAGGAGAGGAGGGAGAAGGAAATGACAGAGAGAGAGAGAGAGAGAGGGGGAGAGAGAGAGAGAGAGAGAGAGAGAGAACGCAGAGGGAGGGAGGCAGGGAGGGAGACCAAACCCCCGCTTTACTGCGTTGAAGCTTCTGAATTTCAAGCAGAAAGTAGAAGGAGCTCCAAACGGCAGTGAGTGTCTTTCCTTGGGCTGCGTGTGGCGAGCGTAGACAATGAAAATCTCCATCCTCCTCCCCCATTCCCACTAGGCTACAAGATTCTTGTTTTCGTTCCTTCTTACCGGTGGAAGCTGTGTAAAATCAAATATGTAGAGGTGTGTAGTGATTTTTTAAAAGCCAACTAACCCACCGCACGGGCTGCGACGCGGATTACCCGAGCGCACGCCGGCTGTAAGTAAGTACCATCCTTTCCTGCGGTAGCCGGGCTCTGCGTCTCGGGCTAGGCTGGGAGTGTTCGCTTTGTGAGTCGGGTTGTTGCTTGTGTTTTGGTGTTTTGGTTCAAAGGGCCTTCTTCGAAGCTTGCACATTTTGCACGTGAGCTGGAGAAGTGTTTCGCCCGTTGTGGGCGTGCAGAACAAGACCCTGGTTGACTTTGATGCGATGACTTGGGGCGGCAGGCGGGGGGCGGCGGGAGGCAGTGAGTCGAGGAGTTCCCGCGTCGCGAGCATCCTTGAGAGCCGCCAGCTCAGCTCTGGGCTGTAAGGTTGGTTCCTGGCAATGGATGGAAATCAGGTCACAGAGATCCCTAAGCTCTCGGGGCTCCCAGACGCGCTTGGGAGACAGAATGGAATTGGAAGGAGGGATCTGAAGGGGAGGGAGGGGATCCGCGTTCCCCCACCCCAGGCCTAAAATGGAGCCCCAGGCAGCAGCGGGCCGGGCCCCTCGGTTTTCAGGACTTATTCTTGCCGGAGTTGGCTCGCACGCTAGTATCGCGCCTTCGGTGCGTCTTTTATCTCCATCTCAAAATAAGGGATCTTCTTGGGACAAGGACTGAATGAGGGTGGGAGAGAGTATGTGTCTCACAGCGCCCAGAAGGGAGAAATTGTGTTTCTGAGAAGGTGTTTTTTGGCCTCTTGAAAATGTGCAAGAATTCCGCGGGCCCAGGCTTTCTTTGTGTGGCGGGCAGCGCCAAGCGCTTTGTGCTTCACAAGGAGAAAATGGCGAGTCCTATTGTGTTTAGGCCATTTTCTTCCGGTACAAGGATTTTCCCAAGTTCGAAATACTTCTTCAGAAAGTAGCCTGCTCGTGCCCAGGAAGGTGTGACTCGCTGAGGCTCGGCCCCATGGCCTGGCGTGGGTGCCGACCTCAGTTTAAAAGCAAGGGCCTGTTTTCTTACCGTTGGGGTACTTGTATCAAAGCACAGATACGCCCGGTGTGTGCGGATCAGTGTTCTCCAAAGATCAGCAGCGGCTCTTGGGGTTTGGGAAAATAAGTGTCTATTTATATATGCATATATACATACATATACATAACACTTTTTTCTGATAATCTGAAGGAGAAAATAAAAAACGAAAGACAGTTACGTTTTTGAAAGAGGCATTAGTTCTTTTTCTTTCTACTTTCTCCCCCTCGAGGAAACCCCAGGAGATATTAAATGTTATTCTGCTCGGTCAGTCTTTTGTTTTCTAAACTGAAGATGGGATGCTATTTTGGATGGAAGAATTATTCTGCATCTTAGCCACTGGAACATATGCTTTGCTAGAAAAGAAGTGTAAGGTGTTAGAGATGGATTTAGTTTAATGCTCTTAGTGTGTGTGTGTGTGTGTGTGTGAGAGAGAGAGAGAGAGAGAGAGAGAGAGAGATCTATATGCCTCTGTATAGCGATGTAAATATGAAGAGGGAGATGATTGAAAACGTTGTTTGGCTTTTGCCCCTTAATTTGTCATTTTTGCAATTGTTCTGCACTTGTTAAACCATATGTAAAAGTGGACAAGGATACCTATGCAAGAATGTCTATGTCACTTTTGAAAACCCCCAGAACGTATTGCAGGTTGAAAGATACTATTTCCTATTTACTACAATTATTTGGATCTTTAAATGAAGTGGTGGTTTTGCCAGCTCAAAAACAATGAAATGCAAACTTTCCCTATGTGCTTCCTGTATGTTCATTTTGGTGGCAAATATAGAAAACTAAAAACAACTGGGATAGGGAAGATAATTTAAAGCCTATAGCGTTTCCCCCCTTTTGATATCATTTTAAAATGTTAGGGAGTCACATTTGTGCAGAGGCATTGTGACTTTCATTTTTCAAAAGGTAACCCTAGTGTATCCTTTCATGTGGATCAAGACCATGGACAGCGAACTAATATTAAATCACTGAGCAAAAAGGACTCTAGTAAAATTTTGAGACCTGAGTGGAAGTTTACATTCAAAACATGTTGGAAGTCAAAATCAATCTTTATGATTTTTAAAAGGAATTCGACTGGTAAAATGTGGCATTTCAAAGTTAGTCTACCAAGTTTCAAAGAAACAATGATTATATGTTCAGTTTTTACCCTGTCTCAAATAGAAAAGTATATATTCTTTATCCAATTAAAATAAGATAAAGCCCACATTTTGGTACTGGTAAATATAAAATTAAATCTATCAGTTTTAGATGTAGAATGTTTTATATAAGGCCTTGAAACAGTATGGGGACAGGGAAATTTTACTGTTTTAGGTTGGCATTGACTGAATGACACTACAGAAAATTAAATTGATTTTTATCAGTGACTGAATTTCTAAATGCATAAAATTGGGAAAATTAAATGCCACTCTGATAGACAGGGATAATATGAATGGAGATATAATCCAGCTATTCCTTTTACTCCTGTGTAGGCATTGTACCCTATAATGTGCAATGTTGTGAGCAAGCACTTTTTTTTTCCAAGAAAGTCACAGGTTTTTTCCATATATACTGATTAGATTTGGGGCACAGGATTGGTTCAATGTGGCTCTGTGATGGAGATCAGGTTATTTTGTTTTGTACATTGTCTGAATAGTCTTTACAGAATTAAAACTCATTTAAAACCATTTCATTTGTGGATTACGTAACCTTCAAAATTGCTCATTTAAATTTCCAGTTTGATGTGTCTTTTGGCTTATTTCATAACCTGACTTTAGTGTGACCTATGAAGGCCTGAAAAATCATATAAAGCAAAAATAATATACAAGTTAGAGGAATTAAAATAGCTTATAATTAAAATTAAGTTAAAAATACATCAACTTAAAAGGACCTTGGAGTTTATGAAGAAATTAAATTTTGATCTTTCTTCTTCAGATTTGGCTATAAAATGAAACTGCAGTTCTTTGAATGTGCAGGTTGCTGGAATTAGATGCTACATATATTTTGAAGACACACACATTTTATTTTTAGACAACGTATTCAAAGTACTTGAGAAGAATATGCAATGACATTTCCCCCTGCCCTAATCAGGACCATGGTGAGGTCCCCGTGGTTCACCAAGTGGTGGGCCAGGGCTCTGGTTGGGACGCTGATTTAGGTTGGCAAAGAGTCATTGTTTTGAAAGGCGTATTGGTCCAGGAAGGCATTTGTGATAAGATTAAGCATAAACCTAAACCTTGGCCTGGGGGCAAGGAAGCCTGCGGGGTTGAGAAGAGGAGATGCAGATTAGCTCTGCTTTCGCTGCTTGCGCACATAATTAAGAGGCGGTCCCTCAGCTGGAGCGTGGGCTCTGTCCGGCCTAAGGTGCTTATTTTCCTGTTACTTGGCCAACCGAGTGTGAGTGAAAAGGAGCCCGAGAGCTTAAATGCGGGATCTAGATGTGTCGACTGGCGTGTGGGCGCTTGTCTCCATGTTAGGGAGAGGCAACTGAGAACGGCGACTTTGGCTTATTTTGAGAGAGCCTGGGTTTTGACAGCAAGACGGCGAGGGGAGCGTTTGGAGAGGCTGGAAGCTCGACGTCTTAGGGAGCTGCCTGCGGGCACTGCGTTGGCGCCAACGGGTTGTCGGCAAGGGCAGGGCGCTTGCCCTCTGCTGTACCCAGCCTCTGCAATTGGGGGCTGCGCGCCTTCTGCGGCTCTTTGGTTTCAAGGACACAGAGAGCTGCTCAGGACTTTGGGAGCCAACATCTGTCTGACTGGTGACGTCAGCAGCCCGTGTAATCCTCTTGTGCTGAAGGCAGATGCCTTATTTGTTTGGCTGGAGCGAGCCATTAATCCCTAATTCTGGATCAGCAAGCGAGGGGGAAAGACCGGACCGCTCCGACCCACCCCCTCCCTACCCCCATCTCCCACCTTAAAGCACCTTATACCACGGAAGCCTCTCAGCCTCCTCTTTCCTCCGCGAACGCGCTGAGCAGCGACTGAAAACGTTTTGGTCCTCTGCAGGTTTGAGCAGGGCTAGCAGGTCTCTCTCCTCCGGATTTCTAGGGCTATGTGTGTATGTAATTCTCTCTCCCATCGATTGTTTCGATTTTCTTGCCGGTCTTGCAGTTTGCAGGGTCCTAAACCAAGAGGGGTGGAGATTGGAGGGTGAGGGTCTGGCGTGTGGTCTAAGGGAGGGGGTGAGGCTGGGGAGAGGGGATGCGGAATGCGGGAACGGCTGGGACTGCACAGAAGGACCATCTGCGGACGCGTTTTCGCGGTTCCAGCTCCCGAAGTCGCTTCTCTGGACGCGGCAGTGTCCACAGCGCGTGGCCTCCTCCTCGGGACTTCCGCAGCCCGGACCTGCACTCACAGCCACAGCGCCACCCTCCTCCCCTCGGGCTGCGGGCCGCGCTCTCCGTGCGCGCGGGGTTCCCTCTGCGTCCCGCTGAAGCCTGGGGACGGAGGTCGCGACCGGCCGACTGGGGTCCTGTCCTCCCGTCACCTTGTCTCCCTCGCGTGCCTCCCGCCTCGTGTCCCTGCTCCCCAGCCTCCCCCTCCTCTCTCCCGCCTCCCTAACACTGCGCTTTGATTCTGTTTTTCAGGGGCGCGTTCTGGGGTCTCTGCTCAAGACCACCTCTCAGCTCTCTCTCCCTTCCTCGGACTCTGGAGTGAGAGCGGGCCTTTCCCTCGGCCGACCACACAGTAGGGGACGCCGTGAAAAGAGCCGTCGCGCCCGCCGCCTCCTGCCCGCTGCGCAGAGGGCTCCGCCCGTAGAGGTCAACTTCCCTCACCCTTTCCTCTCTCCTGCTCGCCCTTCCTCCGCCCGGCCCAGGCGCTTCCAGCCACCGACTCCGGCCGCAGGCTGAGGAGTGCGAGTCCGCTGCGCTGCCCTGAACCGAAGCCCCTTCCAGGCCCAGACCCGAGGTCCGCGCTCCGGGGCAGTGGGAATGCCTTAGTGAGCAGCCTTTTCTCTCCGCAGCAAACTCGTAGCCAGACCAGATGGGCCGCCCAGCTCTCCTGGGACTAGGCAGGTGCGGTTGAGTTAATTTTTCCGCATTACAAAGAAAGATGACCCAGTCCGCCCTTGGACTCTCTTTTCCCAAAATATCCCATCCAAACCCGCGGTAACATTATTGGAGGACACAGAGACCAGGCATATCTGTGTGTTTATCTTACAAGCAGACACACATGTTTGTTTTCCCCTTTATATGCTAGATTTCATCCCCTACAGCAGAAAATGATTGGCGATGGTTCTGACGGAGAACAGGCAACGGCGTGGTTCTTAAAAACCTGCCATTCCTTACAAGTGCCTTAGAAGGGATTCAGGGCGAACCAACTGGGTTAATTGCATTCAGTAAAATAACACGATTACAAAATTAGATCTGTACCAGAGGGGTAATTAACTTGGATCCACGCCGTCATTTGAAAACTAGATTTATAGGCGTATGTATGTTTTTAGGCGTGTGCTGTAAATGGCATGGAGATATATGCATATGTATACGCAGACACACGCATCGTCTACACTTCCACGGAACAGACTAATTAACAGCGGCTCTGGCAGATGTGGCAGAGATGAGCGGAGACAGGAGCTGGGCTTATGAGTTATGACTCTGGGGGTAGACACTCAGAGCGGAGGGAGGGGGATGGGCAGGGAGAGAAGTGTGGTAGTCGCAGTAGGTCTGATACTTTCCGGATCAAGATCAGAGGTTCTGCCCTCCGTGTTCACAGCGGACCTTGATTTAATGTCATACAATTAAGGCACGCGGTGAATGCCAAGAGCGGAGCCTACGGCTGCACTTGAAGGACACCAAAGCGTCCCAGGGTCAGAAAGGGGAAAAGGCAATTGCAGGGAATTTAGAAGGTGGTAGGATGAACCCATCCCTTGCCGCATAAATGCCCCCCACCCCCACCCCGGACTGATTCTAGAAGCAACCTGGTGGGAAAATCTCCTACTCTTCCGTTAGAGCCGCGGAAATCCGCCGGAAAATCTCTGAAGGGGATTTTAGGAAAGCTTCATTGACAGCTGTCAGGAGAGCAGTAGTTTCCGTCTGTGCAAATATTCTAAAGAGTTAAACCATTTAGAAAGCACTGGTTCTTTTAAGAGCAGGTAGTGTGATTGTCTGCAGTCCTAGGCCAAGCTGGGAAAACAAAACAGAAGAGAGAGGTGTAACAGTAAATGGCTTCTGGAACACATTGCGCAAGAAACCTCAAATGAACGGTCCAAACTTTGGAAAGATCTGAAGAACACCTGCCGCGCGCATTTCCCTTTGACTTCTCCCCGTCTCTTCCCAATCTCGAGGCGTCCTTGCCTGACTTTAAAACGACAAGATAACTCTCTTGTTTTGGCATTGTCGCAATGTCCAAATCGGTCAAAGGAGTGGGATAAGGGAAAGGACCAGGTCAGAAACTTTAAAATGACTCGGGAAATTAATTTATTTGAAAGCCAATGAGGTGGACTATGTTGAGGTAGTAGTTCTGCACCACGGCTTTGGAGCCATAGAAAAATCCAGGCCGAGAAAGCGAGCCTTGATGTCTTTGTTCTGCCTTGGCCTGCAGGGGCTGGGAACAAAGGAGAGGCGCTAAAAGGATGCACCAAAGTGGCCGCGCCCTCCCTGCCGGGCGCTGTCCGCGGTGCTGACCGTGGCCCTCCTCTCTCTGCGTAATTAAACTGGGAAAGCCATAGGACCGTCCCGTTCCTGCTCAAAAGAGTAGGATATTAGGTAATTTGAAAAATAAAATTTAAAAGAGAGAAAGTCCACATACAGCAAAACAATATTTTACTGAAATCGTTCCCTCCAGCTGTTGCCACCCTTGCCTGATATTCTTTGGTCTTCACTTAGAAATGCACACAAACATTCAGTTTATGTATATGGGGAAACAATTTTCAGTTTATTTAGGCCAAAACCTGAATCCTGCCGTGGGCAGGATTGAAAGAAGGAAACCGAGGAGAATGAAGGCTTTATTATTATTATTCTTTCTTAAGTTGTCTTCCTTAAAACAGAAACCTGAGATCCCCAGACGCGGATCTTAGCACAGACTTAGTCACTAAAGGGACGTGCAATGGACGCAAGCGTGGGCCTCGAAACTTAAACAGGAAGGGGTGGTCGGAGACCCACCAGGTGAGACAGAGCAGGAGCCCCTGCAGCCTGCCACCTTCAGCCAGGCCTTATAGCCCGGGAGGCTTAGTTAGACGGGTCCAGAGGGCTGAGCTCTGCAGACCGCTCGGGTGCGCGGGAGCCTGCTCGGCACATCCCAGCCGGCGGGAGGCACTGGAGGGCCAGGAGGCCTGAAACCCGCACTGCGGAAAACCCGACCGCAGCCGCATCCTCATAGCTCCCGCGACGGAAAGAGGCAGGGCGGTTTACCAAAACCTATCCATTGAAAATTCGCCTTAGGAATTGAAGGTTGGATGGGTCAGTATTGAAATATTTTTAAAAATCTTTAAATTTCTCAACCTGTTTCATCGTTCTTAGATATTGAGAGTATTAAATGTAAACAATACAAATTTTAATTCCCTAAGTAATGAATCAAAATAGCAAGGGAGAGAGAGAGAGAGACGAAAAATAAGCTAATTCGTAGCCAGCCTGGCTGGCTATTCCTCAAAAGAAATTTATATGCATTTGCTTAGGTTTGCCTATAAATTCACAAACATAAAGGCTGTTAAAATTAATAACAGATTGGACAATAGAGGCAGCAACACCGATTTTGATGCAGATATAAAAATGGGCCATGCATTGAAATGACCTAAAAGAGATGTGTTCATTAAGCTCTTCTTCTTCTCCCTCTTTCCCCCCTTTTTTTTTTTTTTTACACGGGACGTAGATGTATACTAAGATTCATGAGATAAAGCGGCCAGGTGCAATATCCTCAGAGAGCTGTCTGCTCACCCCCTGCCTGAGGGCGGATTTTATCTGTTTTCGAATTTTAGAACTCTGCAAGTCAGGTCTTTCATATCCATCGATTACTTTGGTTTATATTTAATTTTATCCAATTTGGGAATGGGTAGGTAAAGCACAGTGGAAAATAAGGGCTGCTGGCATGACAAAATTAAAGAGTTGTGAGTATTCCTCTTGTGCCAATTAAAAGCAGTTGTGGGAAGCGGAAATGAGTTTAAAGCATTACACGTTATCATGGCGGCCTTTCTTTCTAATATTTATCCAATTGCGCTGTTTTCCTGCATCCACAACTTGCATAGTCCACAAAGCACCTATGGTCCAGGGCTGCAAAATCGTCCCGCCTGATTCCGTTAGAATTCATACTACCTAGCAGGAGCAAACCTTATCCCCTCAGCCTAATCCTACCTGTTTAGGACCATCTAAACTCGGCCTTCAGAAATCTTGATTAGTTTAAAATTACTTTCTAAGTAGAAATCAAATACATGATATGAGAGAGGTTAAAATACTACTTAAAAAGGGAACACTCAATTTAGTAATTCGGTTGCTTAGATGAAATCGAGTGGCTATTGATCCTTGATGTTTCTAGATTTTTAAGACTATGTACTTTCTATTTCTCTGGAAAATAATTATCCAGTTTGATGCCCGTTACAAATTTTCCTGCTATGAAAGAAATTCTATGCGCGGCAGTTTCTCAGTAAAACAACCCAGGCTTCGCAATGGGAGAACTTCGGCGCGGCGTGCCGTGGGAGTCCTTTGACAATCTCAACTTTCATCTGGGTCTGAAATTAAAGCTTCTCGGAATAATTTAGGAACAGCTTGACCCGTTGAGATACTCAACGACAGCCCTCCAGGGAAATAGTATGTTTCCTTCCTGGGAACAAGATGCTAGCGCAGTGCACCGGGAGGTATCCGGTGTCAACAATGCCAGAGCGCCCTCTGCTGCCTCAGAGAGGCAAGACACCAGTTACAAAAGCCAGATGGCACAGTGGCAATAAGCGGAGGAAACATTAAGCTCTTAGAAACGTTTAATCTGTGAAATTTAAAAGCTCTCATCATATTCTACTTTTAAAAGGGCCACCTGATTTTGATTTTGAGCACTCCTTGGACGATATCTTCTATTCTGGAGGATAATGAAAAGTCAGTGTTTTGAAGTTTTCAGATTATTTCTGTTGGTATATTTCTCCACCCTTTCTCGAATTTTATATGGAAATACGAAACTGCAAATCGGAGTGAAAATCCTTTGTGCAAAACAGGTGAGTGGAGAAAACGTCCTGATTTCTCCAGATAACCAAGCTCTAATAAAGAAAGAAATTTTAATTAAAATAAAGACATTAAGCACATATTGTTGCATTATTTTAAAAAGATAATTAAAAAAGAATTTGTCTCGATGTAAGTGTTTTTTTGTTTTGTTTCAACGATCAACCCAAATTTTGCTCAGACTTTAAGTTTTGAAATAAGAAAGTGAATTATTTTTTAAAAAGAAGAAAAATTTGCTTCACATTAATATGTACACTATTTTTGCCCTTAAAATCTTTGCAATAAATGTATATACACACTCAGCTTGCAAATACTTCTTTAGAAAATAACCCACTCTGAGTAGAAGTAATCAGATATGGTACCAGCATGGGCAAACCCATAAGAAAGGTTATTTGCATTAAAAATGAATTTTTCAGTAGGGAAAATCGATTACCAAGTGAAATACAAGTTTTTGTTTTGTTTTTTTTTTAAGGTTCAAACCCTTTTAAATTTTTATGTGTTATAAGGTTTATGTCGATTAAAACAAATGTACTTTTGTAGTAATTCAACATTATGAATTTTAAGATTGCAGCATATTTTGAAACACACACTTTTGCCATGAAGACTGTTGTTGTATATATCAATGCTGATGTAATAAAATGCTTCTGTTAACTATGTAGTTATTAAATAAATCTTGTAAAAATAAAGTTCTGTTTATTTTATCATGTCAGAACAAAATAGCTGTCTAAAATCACTTATTTTAATCTTACCTTTTAAATGAAAATGCCTATAAGAATATGAAGCTATAAGATTACTGAGGAAACTAAGATAAAATTAAAAATTGTATGACTTTGTAATTTGGTATAATTAAAAAACCATGTATTGATTAAATGATAAATAAGGTTAAATATTTGACCAACTATGTCCAGTTCCATATAAATGTAGGTACATTTGTCTTCTGAAAGGTCTTTCTCCAAATAATGCATTTACAAATTTATGGCACAATAAGTGAAGAAATAGTAGAACTTTTATGTTTTTATTTTAAGCATCCTTTTCCAAATTAAAAATATTATTTTTTCTTATAGTTAATTTAAATTTCTTCCTAAATAAATTCATACTTTATCCAGGAGAAAATAAACAGAGGGGCATAATTTTGCTATAAGTATTTTAGTTATCATAATCAGTTAAAAAACAACCTCTAGGTAAATAAAATATATAATAAAATTTAAATTAAAAATGAAAATAAAATGCACTAAATTCATGGGTGGAAGACATGAACATGACTTTTTCCTATTTTAAAAACCATTCGATGTATTCTTTAAAAAAAAAGAGAGAAATGACAAAAAAGAAAATTAAAAAAAAACAGAAGAGAAGCAACTAAAGGAGCTTCTCAGATGTCCAATAGATGCTGCCCAAAGTAAAAAGCCTGCTCTAATATGTTATTCAAATTTGCATGTAAGGGTTTTTAACCTTTCTTTATTTTATATGTGTACAGGATAACATATTGTAACTGAAACACTCTTCCTAATTTTTTCCGGCTAGGAAAAGCCTATGGAAACATTCACTTCCATAGGAGTAATATTTATCTAAACAGTATATTTAGGGAAAGCACTAATAGAACACAAGCAACTAATTACCGATGCTTTTAGGAAGTCACCATAATAATAATTGTGCACTGTCTTGATGAAATTAATACAGAATTTAATATTTGTAGACCACAAAAAAGCCCTAATCGTGGACCTCAGATTTGAAAGAACAGGCTTCAGCACGATGTGTATCATTTTAGTATTCAGACTCAGCTGTCATTGCGATTTCTACAGCTGCTACTAAGTAACTAATATACTGCAGAAATATAACTGAGTAGGAATTGAAAATAAAGTGCTTTAAGAATGAATAAAATTGGGACGTCAATAAATCAGAATTGATTGTCTTTAAGATAGAAGGTTAGTAGTTACAAACTGCAGGGAAAATATTTACATTGATGAACAAATCTCCAGGAAAGTAAAAAAGTTCAG